GTCAATTAATAATTAATGTAATGAATAATGACTCGTGTAGCTCCGAATGGAATTAGCCACGCGGAATTAGCGTTACGGGATACGGTAAACGAGACACACATCCCACAATACGCGGGATAACAATTTTCGCATTTTGTTCCTCACGCTCGTCGAAACGATTATTTTCTTTTACCGCGCGAGAGACGGGTATATACCTAATAACCGCATATCACGCGCGTAACTCGCTCAATCGATCTGTCGATATATTATTCGTCATAACTAACCGACCACTTTTTGCCGGGTAAAAAACACGGTTTGCTTTTAATCGCCAGATAAACACGCATTTCGAGCATTACGAGCATATCCCCGCGTTCTATTTTTCATATATTTCTGTTTTACAATAGCAAAACAATTTTTAACGTTGCTAGAGAAAGGCAATAAATACGTGTGGTACGACAAGAAGCTTAAAACGCACAAATCCATTATAGGAACATTTCACGTAGTCAGAATGCAAATGTATGTGTGTGTGTCGTTCAAATAATATTTTAAAAATGCAAGATTATATTAAAATACATACAAGCTGCAAAAAATTTGCATTTTTTTGCTGTGATTTTACTATCGAAAAGATTAAATAAATCTTATTATTTCTTTTCACGTTGAGAAAACGTACTAAAACATTGATTACGGTATGCGATTATTTTTGTTGACGCAGCACTACCTAAATCATAACAAGAAATGCGAAAATGTGTATTTTTCACGAGCCCGATATTTCATCGCGCCTAAAGTAAAAGTCAAAGAAAGATAAAGTAAAAAAGCCGAGATAAAGAAAAGTTACGTGTTCGACTGGAAGCGAGAAGCGTGACCCAACAAATGAACGAAAATAATCTCTTCTTTTCACGGCGTTTCCATCCCGCTCCCTCTTGTATTCACGCCGTCATTACGGGGTCCCTCTTTCTCACCATCGACGTAACAATTCCTCCCCAGTCTGCACGATACAAAACCTTCGGCAATTACTCCTCTTAACCTTGTTCTCAATTTCTTTATATCTTCGACACATCGTACCTACGTGTATGCTTTATAAAGGGATCTCATACAAAGGCAAAAGGTAGACCGAGGTAGGTTACCGTGTGTATAAATAAACAACGATAATATAATTTCTCAAAATTACAGGGAGCAAAGCACTTTGGGAAATAAACACTGTCAAAGAGAAGTACCTCGAACAATCATATTTAACCTTCGACATATAATTCAGGTTGGATAATTATGAGACAAAATCGAGAGACTCCCTGTCGATTATCCTTACGGATAATTTAAGGAAAATAATTGAGCTCTTGATAAAACACAAATGAAGCTATCTACAGTAGAATTAGTAGAGTTTGTGTTCTAGAATAGATATTAGTCTATATTTACGTTTTACGTCGAATACATATTAGCCTGTTTACTTTTTACGTCAGAAATCTCCATTACATTATTAGATTATATTAAATGCTCATCAAGAAGCGAAGCTAATAAAAAGTTTATGAAGATGTTCAGATATACTATATTCTACTCTGCAGAAATAATCGGATTCCGCGAGTCTAGAACGCTGCATATTGTATACCTGCAGAATTTTCAATTAAAAATTGCAGCTACCTCTCTCTCCTACATTAAATCTACGTCAAGATGTTCAATCACGAAAAGGCTACCGTGAAACATTCATGCTCCCGTTACGTAGGTATACACGAGTAACTTTTACGTGGCAGCGGCCGCGCAGCGTAGTCGCGTGAATCCTAACGATGTAATCATTTAATGGAGTTTCTGCCCGGTATGTTTGCGGAGATGGAAGTAGGAAAATACGCAGCAACATTCTTTTCGTGTTATTACACTGTGATTCGCTCGGTAGATAGAACCCGAATAAACTATAGGGCCAGCGACGATTGAACGACTTAGTGATTCGAGACGCTCCGTCGAATCGGCAATCCTCCCTGAAACTATTGCGTTCTCTGGGCGAGAGCAGCTATTCCATCTCAAAATAACTTTTTCATTCCCCGCTTGTAGCAAATTTTCGGAAAATTTTTAAGCACTTGTTGTGAATCATGAAATTAGCGAGATAAAAAATCGCGTTAACCTCCTTTTTCAGAACTCGGATATAAAGCGAAATTTCATTTTCCAAAACATTAATTGCAAAAATAATGTAAGTTTAATTAATTGAATTTGGAATTTTGTGATTTTTTTTTAAATTTTAAACGAAATTTGAGATAATGGGTTTTAATCTTGCGAATTTACAGCGCGGGAAATAATAGAGAAACGTTGTTATTTTACATTAATACGAAATATATTATAAGAATTAATGTATTTTCCAATATATTGTGGGATTATAACGTCCGATAAAATTATATCTGTCCTACAACTTTTAAATTATATCGACATATTTTAAGCTACATAGATAATATAACATGTAAATTGAATTTTTTTAAGTCTCCTGGAACTTTTTAAAATCAGTTAAATCATCAAATAGAAATTTTTCGTTTGAGAAATTGGAGAAATTCATCGTAAATATAAATAAATAATTGAAATTATTCATGTAACTTGCATTAAGTTACCTCGCATTACTATTGCGCCTTCCAGTAAATTGGGAACCAACTTTTTCTTTATGCAAATTTAAAGCGAGGCACAATTATGAAGCTATTTAACATCGAATTAAAGGATTTTGACGAAGTGGCAAGAATGCAAATTGATAAGGAAAAACTTTAGCTAATTTTTACTAAGCTTTAGCTTAAGACGAATTTAATTCGATGCTTCGTTACCGAGATAATTAACATGGAAAATTCAAATGCTGCGAAAAAGGGTATCTCATAAAATTTTCGCTGAAGGAGAGTTATCTCCAAGTTCCTGAACCCTTGAAGCATGTTGTAACTTTTGCAAAATATCTTGCGCATGTAAAATTGATATTCTGTAATCACAAGTCAAAATTGGCGTATAAAATGTCGCATTAATTTTCTGGCGTATCAACATGAATTTATTTAAAATTATTAATTTCTACACGAAAAGATATTTGCTTGAAGTATCTAAAAATTTAGTTACAGAGCTGAAAATAATTTTATTCAGATATACCATCAAGATAATTATGTGAGAAACTCGAGCATGATAAGTAATGTTGCACAAAATTTCAACATTTTAGCAACCAGCTTAAGCTTGTGAGCGTCTTACATAATTATATTGATAATCCAATAAAATTATTTTCAGATCTGTACGTAGCAAAATTTTTAGATACTTTAGCAAAACCATTCTTTTCGTGTACTCATCCAGTTTATAGTACATCTCCTCTTTATAGAATGCCAATACAAACGCGACGATGTATCATCGTAATAATGAAGACGGCGGACAGTAGCCTCGAGCAAATTTGCGTTTCGATCGATTGCCGCGGCTGGACGCGTCGCGGGGCGATAAGGAAGCCCAGCAAAGACAGCTCGCGAAACGATCATCGCAATAATATGAAGACGATAGACAGCCCGAAGCAGATTTGCGATCCGTATTCGATTGATTGTCATAGGGGCGATAAGAAAGCTCAGCGAAGACAGCTCGCGAAACGAACGGACGGGACGAACGAGCGGCTAAGACAAATGGAGTCAGTAGTTTACGTCGGTGTAGACAGATACGCGGTATCCTTCGTCGAAAGAAGGACGACGTAAACAGACGTGGGGGACAAGCGCGCGAGGACGAAGGGATATCGGTGTCGAAGTAGCCCTCTTCCCCCCCCCCTTCTCCTCTTCCTCTGACGGGAGGGTGCGCACGGGACCGTATCTTCTGCAGGATCCTACCCCTTTCCCGCGGCGAGGTCGGGGCAGGGAGGGGAGAGCGGGAGGTAAACGTGGCCGAACCTGGTGGTCGATACGCGGGTCAGCAGCATGCTTCACCGACAGCGCCAATGGGGCGGTTTGCGAAATCCTCCTCCGAGTACTAGTACAATCCAGCTACGAAGTATTTCCCCGTTTCCGACACTGCGGGCACCTCCGATTGCGGTGGCTAAGTGCTCCGTAATGACCGTTGTTAATGTCCGGGCTCGAGAGGAAGGTGAAGTTTTCCGAATTACACGAGCGATATGATCGACGCTTGGGAACACGCGAGCTTACCCCGAAATTCGCTAAATACAGAGACTGCACCGGTTCATCCGAAATTTCCAGGATCGGTATTTTTTTTTTTCGCACGGATCCACGTAGCGTAACTGTGCATTTTTTTTCTTTTTTAGTATCTTCCGACCAATATTTTATACATCCCTGCCGACTGCTGCGCGAAGATCAGAGAAGTATTGAGATTCAAATTTTCTTCAGATATTCCTCAATCGTGAAGAGAGCTTATAAATAATTTATATAATAATTCGTATCAAATTACAATTCTACATAGTTATCATTTTTGGCAAAATTTAAAACCAACTTTTTCTTTATGCAAATTTAAAGTAAGTATGTAACTATGTGAAGCTATTTAACACAATTAGAGGCTTTTGACGGTAAGAATACAAACTGATAAAAAAATATTAGCTAATTTTTAGTTAATTGTAAGCTCTATAGTCTATTTATATATTTTGATATTTGTGTGCACATATTTTTAATATGTATTTTATTCAATATATACGTGTATTTTTATTCGTAATTTTGTCTTACTTCAAAATAATATATTTATCTAATTCAGAATGTAATATTTATTACTTGATGCCGATGATTATGTCATATTGTCATATGACTTTTAATACGTCCTCTTTGCCCTCATTTTATTTTAGAGAGTCTAACAACTTTTCGAGTAGATTTTCGAAGCAGATTGATGTCGCGACAGTCTCGCAAGGAAGGTTCTCACTGGGAAGCTATTTGACGGATTGAAGGAAACGATCGATGCTTTGAGAAACTGCTTAGAGACGACGTGTTCTGGCTTCACAATTGCGTCCGTGCAATCGTTGTAAGTTGCCACTTTGAGAAATTCCACGGCTATTGTGATACGTGACGCACTGCAAAAAACAGTCGATATCTGCGGCCATTAGCAGTCCCATTGAGGTTAGACGAAACACCATAATACGTTATACAGAAAAATCGATACAATGCATTTCTCTTCCGGAAGCACGTTCATTCCGAGAGATATCAACGCGTGCCAAACAGTTACGTTAATCCTTCGTTAATCTGACAGAAATTTCGAATCTCGCTATTTAAAATTTAAAATATATTACCTGATAAGATATTTATAAAACGGATATTTTAATTCAATATTTTATAATCTTTTAACTAACATATCGAGCCGTTAAAGATTGAAATCCATTGATAAACAGGGATTAAATTATGACGTTTATAAAAATATGCATATATATTTTTCGCTGTTGCTTATTGCGATATTAAATCTCCGATATCACACGTTAAAAAATTCTCTCCTGCCGCTTGACTGACAGGGAGAGGATCTTTGGTCTCGAAATACTTGGGCTGACGATTTGAATTGGCTGATTGATCCAGTAGCCCCACAATTATTATCGTCGCGGTTTTCTCAGCGCACACACATATCTCGAAATTATCTCGTTTATTTTCTACCTTGCGGTCTCGACAAAGCTACCTACCCTTCGTCGTGCACAATGGTTGGTCTCACTAAAACCCCATTTCTTTCTCGCTACGTCTCTCTTTCTCTCTTCCCTCGTTTCCTCCTTTCCTTCCATCTTCGCTTTATCTGGTCATTGTTGAATCGCAGGACTGCTTGTCGCGGAACAGAAGTGGATCTGAGACGGAGTGGACTGAAACCACGAGATTGAAAATCGATTTTCGACCTGGCGACAGAATAGTCACCCATTTGCCACGCTTATTCAATTAGCGGAAAGGCTTAATAAGAATTGGCAGTGCGGTAGTGCCCGTGAGCGGGCAAATAAAAAGACTACGGACAAATGAATGTACACCAGGATTCATTAATGCGCCTTAGCATTTTCGGACTTAAATTACTCGGCATTTTTCTTCTTTTAAATCGAACACACATGCATCGCTAATGTTAATTAAATATAGGAAACTATATTTTTATTAATCGATTCGTGTTATATTATGTTCCATAAATTTTAGCTATATCGGCTATCTTTTTATATGTACTTAATTTTCTATATTTTTTTTTCAGATCAAATATTTATCAAATAGTGAATCGTGAGTGATTAACAATGAGACGTTCGATCGAAAGAAAACGCGTGCAGGGAAATTCCCGGGAGTGCTGAGGCATTAATGAACCTCAGTGTACACGGTTTTATCGGGGCCTAAAACGATCGTCTATGCAAATGTCGTGGCCCATTAAAGGAATGGACGAACCGGAACGACCTCCTTCGCCTCGCCTGTTTTTCGCTTCTTGACTTCGCACGCCCTCGGCCTCGGCTATATTCGAGCCGGGCGGCGTTGAATCTACATTCTAGTGGACTTTGAAGGAGAAGTAAATCGAATCAGCGTGATTGAAAATCGATTTTCGATACGGCACTCAAAATCAATCTCTGAGACACCGGCAAATAATCCATTTGTGCTCTTGATTGACGTCGCCGTTCAATGTCAACCGTGTAAGATGTATACGACCGCTATTAACGCGACGATTGGCTCTTTTTTCTCTTTATCGTTTATTTACGCTGATTATTCCTCTAATTTGAAGATTAATGAAATATAAATCGCACTTTTTTTTCTACGAAATATCACGTGAAAGCTGTTTCGTTTACACAAAATCCGAAGCGTCAGGAAGTCCTATAAGCGCAAATGCCACGTCAAGTCGGATATAGAATTTTTCGAGTATGTTGGAAAATCGACATTATTTTCTTGGTCTGTCAAGTAGGCGGAAGAAGATAGCAGCCGTAGTATCGGAAATCCATTTCCAATGTTGCATCTTGGATTTGTTTCCTCTATTTGAACATTGCCACGACAGCACACGAATGTGGCAATTTCCTGATAAGATAATAATGCTGTGATTGGAAAGTTTCTCCAATTTTTTTCAGCGTCATGATAGATTATATGAAACAGAGAAACGAAAAGAGAGTACGTCAAATATTGAAATTGATATCATCTTTGAGTATCTATGGAAAGAATAATTTTGCTGGAAGGTAAAAAAATTTGGATCTGAAAATAATTTTGTCAGACCATCAAAATAATTTCGTTGGAAACTCAAAAATGATAAGCATTGCTGTAAAACGTTTTCATATTCTAGCAATCATTTTGACTTTCCAATAAAATTGTTTTGTTGGTCCAACAAGAATTATTTTTGTATTCAGCAAAATTTTTAGATTCAGCAAAATCGTTCTTTCCGTCTATTAACATAATATTATATTATAATTTTCCTCTTTCAAAACATACCCATGTGCGCACAATTTTTTTTTACTGCAGTTACTATTTAAACTTTATATTTCACATCTATATTAATATTATATTATCGCCTCTTCAATGTGTAATCTCCAAATATGCAATCAACTCCATCGCGATTTAACGATAACACAATGACTTTCTTTTTATCTTAAATACGTTCGTAAATACGATTTAGTTCCTCGACGAGGCTCGCCTTTGAAAGGACGTCGCTCTATTTATTTAACCGCCTGTCCGACTAGATGTGTCTTAATACGACGAATAGACGAAATAAAGAACTGTGGCTGCGTGAAATAGACTACCTGCACGTCTCTTTAATCTATTAGAAGCATTGAACATAGATTCCGTCCGCGGACGGTCGGGAGATTTACTCTCCTCGGTTTCTTTAACCCCAAACTCGCTTCGTCCATTTTCCACTTTTGCGAGTCGCCGGGGCTCTCGGCCCTATCTCTTCTCGCTTCCCGCGTTTCTTTTTATCTGGCGAACGCTCGTCGTCTTATCTCGGGTGCGCGTCGAGTCCCTCTCTCTCTCCCGTCTCGTGTCCAGGGTGGACTGAAGTGGATGGGGGCGAAAGTAGGCGAAACGGATCCCCCGAAGCCGGGGCACGATTGGAAATCGATCTTCGGCGCTGCTCGTTCCCGGGTAATTTGTAAGAATGTCCTCGTTGCAATGATCGACGAATGACCGGCCATTTGTCTCGATTATCCAGGCCGCTGCGAGAACCGGCCGCGTCGCGGACCGTGCTCCTCCCCCTCCCGTCCCCCGCCCCGGTCGAGGAATATCCTTTAGAAATTGGTATACCAGGCGGCGGTTGCCGCCCGGCGAACAAATGTACACGTCCCCGGGTACAAGTACGACGAGCACCGCCCGTACAGCGCTTCCTCTGGCGCGCGAGACAAACCGATCTCTCCCGCCGCCGTGCAGCGGCGACAGAAAGTTGCGGGCGGAGGGGGGGGGGAGGGGATAAGCGCGATATTTGCGGCAACTTCGGAATAAATGGCCGAGAGACTACTTTTCTTGCGTGGCCGAACGAAGCGCGCGAGAGAGAATTCCGCGTTTTCCCACCCCTCGTCCCACTGTTGTTCCGCGACCTCGCGTTGTTCCGCGAGTACTGTCCGCTCGCGGGATCTGGCTATTTGCGAATCTGTTTGTACATAGCCCCGCATACATATAAGTATATATTCACTTCTGTTATAAATTTATGTACGTATCGTCCTCCTCTTGAAATTTACAGCGTAGGCGGCTATTGATCAGATTGCGCGTTCAAGGATGAAACCTTTTCCGTACGAGCAAAATGGGCTGAAGTGTTTTATAGCGCAAATGTCGAAATGTGATGAAAAATAAACATTCAAAATTTCTCCTCTTCCGGCTCGTACGAAACTACGTTTTGTTTATACACTTGCTGGATAACAATGGAACTTTATGATCGATCTCTCGGGGCAAAAAAAAATGTTTCAGACTGTGATTGATCGAGGTTCGTAATATATTTGTTATAAATTTAATTACTCGTGTCATATAAAAATGTACTTCCTAAAATCTCGCGTCGATATAGGTATTCCTATACTTTTGGCAAACGCTGTACTTTATCGTTACAGGTTATTGGTGTAGATACTCTATTGCACATGTTTCTCTCTGTTGTCCAACTCCCTCAGGTCCGAATGTCAAGATTAGGGGGAATCGAAATATTGTTGACCAACGGCGACAGTTCGAGATACGGAAAATTTCGAAACAAAATGTCATGATGTTGACATTGTTTAATGATCGTAATATTTGACATGGAGAGTAGAAGGATTCGCAAGGAACTAAAATCAAAATGAAATGGGAATCAGAGAAAAATCGGAGGAAAATAGAAGCTTTATTGCGATTAATAAAATAATAAACAATAGAATATATTTTTAGTGAGTAAATTATCTTGGTACCTTTAATTATATTGATTTTTTAATCATTTATCATGTAAAAAATATTGAAAATAATTTATATCTTTCTCAAATGGATCTATCGTTCCATCAATTTTTGTATATATACCCTATGCTCTGCGAATATAATATAATTATTCCACACAGTTCCACAAGAAATGATAATTATAATAGAGAATAAATATCATCAATTCAACAGCATTCGAAGAAGGTAGACTGTTCAATTGAAATTAATTTGAAACAAGAAAGAGATACTCGATATTATTTTTGTTCACTTTTTCGACTCGCTTTCATCGTTGTTTTTTTTTCAACCTTTGTTCTTGTTCCAATATACCTACATTCCATGACCGTCCGAAAGAAACACTATCGCGTTTCAAAAGCGATGCCTGAAAATAGAATTATCCCGTCGTCGCGCCATAAGCTCGGCCGATAGGCGAATGACCGCATATTTAAAGTTTAAAGGCGATTTACAAGCTATTGTTAAATTGGAAACGGAGTAACGTAACGTAAGAGGCGTTATTGCTCTCCGCGGAGGCGGGATAAATTCGATGCATACCAATGCAAACCTATAGAGCCGGGACGACGATCGGGGACACATGATACCGTCGGCGACGATTTATTTTAACGAATACAACGAGAATTGCGTCGAGTCCTTTCGTCGCTTCATCGCTATCTTGCTCTATCGTCTTTACTACGGAAAGACCTGTATCTCTCTTTATATATACTGTATCTTGCTTTATGTATGTATATATAAAATCTACCCCCACGTAATTTCGCAAAGCAAATCGTAATCCGACTACGAACTTAATAGTAGATTGCACAAATTACCATTGTAAACTTCCTTTTACGAGTTCGGTTATCGTAAGGAATTATTTTCTTGATTTGGTCGTCGAAGCAGCGACGCGCAAAGCGCAAAACAGCGGAATAGTTGCAGTAGATTGCCTTGTTAGACTCCGGAACGAGTCTGCAAAGATTAACAATCGTCGGAGGAAATGAATAGAATGAGATAAAGACGAAGGCGGGGGCATAATGGGAAATGCATGGGACGGCGAGAAAAGTACGAAACGTAATTACTCTTATTTGAGACTCTTATTTGCGAACGAATATCAATGAGTTCAAACTTGATACTTCCTGCTACTCCTTGCCAGTAAAATAAAATATATTTAAAAATAGATACAAAAAAACCTGGACACGTATTTCACCAAGTATACATATATTCGATCGCAGATACAAAATCAAGCGCACGTGCACAATATGTGTTTGGAATATTAAAATTACACAGTTGAATATTCATTCAAAAATTAATATCTAAATAAATGACTTCTGATCAGCAATAAAGATAGCTCGGTTTTAATTAAGGTATATAATAATTCGCTTTATAGTAAGAGTACATAAAATTCCTGTGCATCTTATCAAATTTAAAGAAATTCTGCTGTAAAAAAAAATATATAAATTATTGCATTACATTGCCATTGAGGTACCCGAAAGAAATTTCATTGCACGCTCTAATAGAACGTATTACCGCGGTGAAGACTTAGGTGACGCGAAGCTTATTCGCTGACTGATTTTATTAGACGCATAATTTTCGCGGCAAGAAAGAAACTGCAGCCTCATGCAATTCCCGTCCGGCTCTCACGGTCGGGCGACTGACAAGTAATCTGCAGTTTTCACTGACTCGCTAATGCCAGCACGATCTACGGTCGAATTTTCTTTTCTCGGGCACGACCTGCGCACTCCTGTGAACATCGGGCGGGCGCTGCGTGTGAACGTGTATACGGCGCAAAATCTCAATCTCTCGCGGTGGCGCGCTACAGCAATTTCAACATCTCGTCCGTAACCTTCTATTCGCTCTGCAGGGTTAGCTATTGACAATAAGTAACAGAAGCAGTTCCGAATTGTAACGCGCGCGCGGATCGCAAGGAGCCCCGGGTAAATCGAATCTTTACAGGATATACGATATTCTTCGCAATCATTGTTAATCCCGTAAGTATACGCGGAGATCTGCACGACAGATGGAAGCGAAATGTGATATTTTTTAATTTTACAAAAAAGTCGCGCGACCGCGACGACGACGGTAATGATTAGAAGAAATCTAATCTCCTCAAGTGAAAAGAGAGATCTAATATCGGATGCGGCTTCGCGCGATTGTAAAAAAAAAATGTAAGCTCTCTCGCAATTTTTCTCGAAACTAATAAGAAACGTCTCTGTTGAATGCTTTCTATTGAAGCTATTTGCGGGAATATTTATTGTCCGCCCCGTACATTTGCCTGTGTGTGCCGCCAGAATTGCGGCGTGTGTTTACCCGATTTTTTTGAAAAAAGCCACGTAGCTTTAAAGTGCCAGAGCGCAGCGTACCTTCGGCGAATTGTGGCGAATACAAAAGAATAGTGTTTTTCTTTTCTTGGATATATATACAACATATGTATATATACCTACGTATGCATATATACATATATTGTACATATATATTGTTGCAGTTGTATATGTCTTAAATTACATGCAATCCGGCATCAAAATGTATGCACAAATATCATATTTTGTAGCATATATGCCACAACTCTCGGGAAACGCCAAATTCGTGAATAAAATTGTTTGGATTTGTAAAAATTTTAAAAATGTTTATCCGACGATTGAAAATCTCCGCAGTCTCTTTTACTTATTATTATTTTTTTATTACTTCGAATAATAATTGACAGAACTTTTTTAAATGCATCTGAAGATTTTCTGCTACTATGGCAAACGTAAACATAATGGGACGCAAACAAACATGTGACTATATTTGGCGGAATATGCGTCTAGGTATTT